CCCCCCCCCGCCATGAGGAAGACCGCCTTCCAGCAGGGAGCTGGAACAGAGCTGAACTCTGCCCAGGAGAGCTTCTGCAACGCTCTGAAAATGCCTGCCCAACTGCTTGCCTGGGCTCTGGCCCCTCTGGCTGCAACTGAGCCCAGACAGGAGGCTGACTCACTCACCGCACGGAGGAGGAGGAAGAGGAGGAGAAGGAGAGGGAGGAGGAGGTAGTGCGGGAAGGGCCTGGGTTCAGAGACCCAAGGTTCCCCCAGCCACGCAGACTGGGTCTCAGCCTCTGGTCCACCAGCTGGTTGTGGGGAGGAGGGGCAGCTGTCCACTGGCTCTGGAGACCACACGCTGTTCCCTCCTAGATACTGCCCCTGAACCTCCTCACTCATCACCCACAGACTCGGGGCACCTCGCTTCCCAAACAGAAACTAGTCCTTGAGCCCCCTCCTCGCTTAAATGCTTACCCCTGAGTTCCTCTGGACATCTATTGACAGGCTTTCCTGAAAAAAATCAATGCCGTGCAATAGGACCAATTAGGTCTAAAATCTTTGGTAGTTAAAAAAAAAAAATCAAGAAAAAAAGAAAAATATTCTACTTAAAAGACCCAACTCCACCATCGCAGGTGACCATACGTGAGCCCTACAAGACAATAAATAAGGCTACACGCACTCCACCCCCAGAAGACCTTAGCGCCGTCAACCAATCGCTCTCTTTCTTATTCCTCCACTCCATGCCAAGGCGCCCGGACAGAGGAAGGAAACAAATGCTTCTTGTTCCCCAAGTGCGGAGCACTGTGCTAGCGGAGCATTTCTGCGTTAAGCTGCCCGCCCGAGCGCCCAGGATGCGGCCGATCCCCTCGCCAGCCTGGGGCGAACTTCAGCTTTCTCAGACCTCAGTGCTCCCTGTGTCCCAGCCTCATGGCACGACAGCCTGGATCGCGGTCGCCAAGTTTGCCCCTGAGACTTAGACTTTAATGCTTGACCCCGGGCACTCAGGCCCCTACCCTGGACGCCACGACCCCGGTCTATTCCTTATCCTGAGACCACCTTCCTCGCAGCTCCCGAGTCCGCACCTGGTCTGGCCGGCGGGTGGACAAGCACCTGCGCTCTCCCGGCGTCTCCGGCTCGGCTGCCGCCTTTTGACAAGCAGAGACAACCCAGCAGCTGGCCCCGCCCCTCGAGCAGGCCCCGCCCCGGGCCCGCCCCGGGCCTTGGCCCCGCCCACAGGTCCGGTCCTCTCTTGCCAAGAGCTCCACTGGCGCTGCAACCATCTTGACTCGGATTCAACCATTGACTGCACTGTCGCCTTGGAGACTCTGCCTCGTGAAACTTTGTCCGACTGCCGTCCCCAGGGCAAGGCATGCTTCTGCCCTGCGTGGGTCAGAGTTTTCGATGACCATGTGTGTGTGCAGATCCACGCTACTGCCTGCGGTAATTGGTGGTGCATCCGAGCCACCTCAGCCGCCGTGGTTCTAGCCAGCCTCCTTCGGACGCCTCCGCCAGGTGCGTCACCCCCACCTGAGCTGACCCGGCCAGGACTTCGTCGTCCGCGGGACTACTGGGGCGCACCTGCCGACGGGCACCAGCGGCTCTCCCAACACTCGTGGGAAATCCTGGGCGCCGCTCACCGTCGTGCCACTTCTGCAGAGGTCGGGGAGCTCAGCCCGACCCCACAGGTTATGATAAAAGAGCATACAGGGCCAAAGTGGAACCTGGAGTTGCATCATCACTCCCACCCGATGTCCCCTCTGCAGCGACGGCGGCTGAGCACGTTCCTGGCCTGTCGCGAATCTCGTACAAGTGGGGCTTGGTCTCAGCTTCCCTGATCCCTTGTCCCCAGTTCCTCCTTCCCCACAGTGGCGTTGGTGTGCAGGGAAGGGAGGAGATAAAGAGTACATCCAGATACCTGGAATTGTGGATGGCTGCGCAAAATTCGCCATAGAAAATTTTGATTAAAAATTACTGCTTCCTAGGCACTGCGCTAGATTCCTTCGGAGAGATGAAAAAGATGGGGTTCCCGCCTTCTTAGAGCTCACTGCCCAGTGGGAAAATGTATAAATAAATAGTAATTAGAACATAATTACAACATAATGTTTTAGAACAGAGATGCCCACAAAGTCATCCGGCAGTTGATGACCTCCTTTAAGTAGGGAAGGTATTGCTATTCGCCTCTTTCAGAGGAGGAGACCATGGCTCACAGGGCAAGCTGAACAGGTGGGAAACCGAGGCATAGAGAGGTTAAGTGATTCACCCAACATGATCCAACTATTCAGTACTAGAGCCCAGCAACTCTGGCGCAGTGGCGGAGGAACCAATTCTGAGACAGCTGTGCTAGACTGTGTTAACCAGCCCCTCTCAACTCTCAGTAATTGCATCAAGAGAAATGAACTGAGGCTAAACGGAAGGAAGAACCCTCAAACGGTGAAGTTTGTTAAGCACTAAAACAGTTCATTAAGGGGGTATCATGGAAACTTTCTGGGAAGGCTTCAACAAAACACCAAAGAGATGCGCATGGTCTGATTGAACTTGGGAATGGACCATCCGTTCTGAGAAACAGATGAAAGGAAGTGCCTCTTTATCGGAGCAGTGGTATTGCTACTTCACATGTGTAAAATGCTTTATAGTATAAAAATAACTCTTTGAAATATCTTATTTGATCTTCATCACAGCCTTTTGAGATAGGCAGAATAGAAAATACTCTGAGAGTAGAAAATACTCAGAGTAGAAAATACCCCATTGTACAACTGATGTGCGGAGTTGTCAAAGTTCTTACAGCTGGGGAGTGACAGAGCCACTTGAATCTGGGTCTTCCCTCTGTACATCCCACCGTTCCATGCTGCCTCTCAAAAAATGAAAGTTGTTCCCATGCACTTTTCATCTGTTGAATCACAATCTAGATAAACCAGCCTTGGAGAACTCAGAGGTTCTGGATTTGGCAGATCTGCAAGATTACAGATGTTGTCATGGTCCCCGGTACATGCTGTCATCAGCTCCATCACCACATCCCTAACCATGATTTTCTCATTGTCCCCTGATATCTGAACTGCTCTCTCATCTGCTGCTCCAGACCCTCTCCTCTTTCAGGTCCTGTCTATCCCCATCAGACCTTTCCCAACGTCCCCAGGTCAAAATGCTCTGACAATTCTCTAGTCTTTGTCACATGTATTGTCTTCATTTCATGGTTTGTCACCTGATAATGAACCATCTTGTATTTACATTGAACAAAGAAGGATTTTTTTTTCCTCCTCTGTTTTATTATTAGGAGGAAGGTTATTTTGTAGGAGTAGCAGAGCAAGATCGCATGAGATTCACTTCTCCGTGTTCTGTTGTAATCACTAATTTTCTCTTGCCCTTACTTCTCCCTAGCCAGGTACATGGCTAGGAAGGGAGGCTGCTGTTCCAGATCCTGTTGTCTTGAAGCCTTGATAAAAGGCAGCATTCCTACACTACAAAATTAATAGTTTTAAGCTCCTCTAGCTTGACTGCTATATGAACCATGCACCAGAACCTCTGCAGAAAGCACTAATTTTCTCTTTCTTTTCCCTGAAGTTAACATTTCTTGTATTCTCACTTGTCTCTGGGAGGGGTGGTGGTCCTTATTGGGATGGTCAGATTGTTTTTGGCTAGTACTCATCTCCGATAAATTATATAAGGGAATATCTACTAAGTGCTTGCTATGTGCAAGGTACCATGCTAGGGTGCTAGGGATTCAGTGATCTGTACAGAAACAAAAGAGCCTTCCAGGTGCATCCTACCTGGGAGGAAAGATTCCAGAGGTGCCGGGATGAGGCCATCCCTGTTCACTTCATTTCATGGACTCCAGGGAAAGGCAGAGCTTGGCCTCTCAACCTCTCCACCAGGCTGTGGGTCCTGGGGCTGGCCTGGGCAGGTGGTGGCTACAGTCAGGCCACAGGGCTGCAGCCTCTCCTCAGGTGATGAGCTCTTCTTTTCTGCAGCCTGGCCACTGTCCTCAAGGCCAGCTGACACTCTCAGCACCTCTTTCTGTGGTGCCAGAGGTTGAGTGGGTCATCTTGTCCTTGAGAGGTTCCCAGAGACCCTGGGCCCATGGACAGAGATTTTTAAGCTGCCCAGAGGCTGCTCTGCAGGTAAAAATGTGCCCTTTGAGCTCTCTCTGGAACACTCCCATCTAACTGTTTGCTTTTCGCTTTTTTAGGGCCCTTTTTTTCCCTTAAATATTTTATGGTTATGGGCAGGGTAGGACTGAAGGGAAGCCTCTCATTCAGCAAACCCTCAAAGAACATTCTGAAAGGCAGTCATGGAGTCATAGAGACAGAAGGGATCAGGCCATCTTCTTGGTTAGTTCCCTTATTTTAGAGATTTAAAAAAAAAAAAAAAAAGGAAAAAAACCACCAATTAACCAGAAAGGTTAATTCATTTATCTTTCCTAACCCATGTTAGGACAAAAAGAATCTAGGACTATTCTCCCTGTTCATGTTCCATGGTGAAAATGGAATAAATAAATGGAAGAAGCTGTAATTAATGAAAGGAAACCAAACAAAAGGATCTTCCTGGGACAGTGTTTTTCAGATTTTGAATTGAAACCCTCAATAAGAAATAAGTTTTTATCATGACCTAGTATGCTCATGCACATATGTAATTTTCATGAAAGAAAGAGATGTTCTGTGATGCTTTCTATTATTTTCTCTATCTTCCCTTCCTTCTCTCCTTCCTTCCTTCCCTCTCTCCCTCCCTTCCTTTCTTCCTTTTCTTCCTTCCTTCTTTTCTTTTTTCTTTCTCTGATTTCACAACCTATTTATGGGTTATGACCCAAAGTACAGCATAAAAATCCTGCCCTAGGTCATGGGCTAGGCTGACTTGATTGTTTGAGTAAGCAATGAACAGAAAACTCCATCTTGCCCTCCTGAATGACGTGAGCATGTCCCTCTTACCATGGGATCCCGTCATTTAGCACCTGCGACATGAGATTCACAGAAAGGCCTTTGAGAGACCAGCAATGGCTTACATGTAGCATCCTCAGAACCCCATAGTGGCTCCATGGTAGCTTGAGGGGTTTGGTGATCCTACCTCCAAAATCACATGGTCAGGGTTAGGTCACTGAGGCAGCATGTATCCACCCAATGTTTGCCTTTGTGGCCTTAATTCAGCTGATATCTTGCCACTCTCCTGCATTTTCCAGCTTTGGGGGGCTCTTTTAACCTCTGGGTGCTTTATGGCATCTCAGAAATCCTGACTTCTCCAGAACAGATAGCTCTGGGGAGTCATGTGCAATGCCATCAGAAGTGGGTGCCCGCAGACCCAGCCTGTCCTAGAAAGAGTAGGGCACCACCAGTTATTTACTCCAAATCCATCTGGCTCCGGGGCTCCATTCCCAGTAGCCCAGCTCATGTCTCCATCCTCAGGGCTTTTGGCATTTTTCTTTCTCACCTGCTCCCACATCCTGAAGCCCCAGGCTGGCAGCCTGCTGGCCCTGCACGCAGCGTCTGCTGGCAAGGCAAAGCAAAGCCTTGGGGCCAGAAGAAGAAAGGTTCAGACTCCCACCTGCACCTCCAAGCAAGGCAGCTCAGAGCTCTCCCAGGCTCCCAGGTATTTGCTGGGCTCCTATCCAAACCCCAGAAAACAATGATGACTCTTCTGCAAGCTCCAACCCCAACAATTCAAACCCTGACACCAGCAAAATAGACTAGAGGCTCAGGGTCCTTTCCCATCTACAACTGGCTACGGCTGTGAGTTTTGCAACCACCATGATTACTCTTGTAGAAGATAAAGTGAACCTCATCCCCAATGCCTTTGGGAAATTCTTATTTCGCTCCTCTAGGGAAGAATGTCCCGTGGAAGAGCCTAGTGATGGAGATAAATGGAGAGGCTCTGTGGCATGGGAGTGTCTTGGGAGGAGGTGAGAATGGAGTCAGTGCCACACTGCTGCTGAAGAGGTCAGCAGGGACAAGCTGACTCTTTTCAAAAGAAGCCCCTCTTCCCCAGAAGAGTCTCCAGGGAAGATGATTGGGCAATGACCTCCTTTTCCTCATACCAAACAGAAGCCCCACAAGCCTCATCGTGGGCACGCCTGCTTGTTTGTCCTGAACAGGAAGGGCATTCCGTAAGCAGCCCAGGAATGCATTAAACAACTCTCCCCTGGGGCCCAAACTCCAGAAAGATGTG